TGGAGAACTGAACATATCTAGAACCGGGTGTAGAGCAAGGCCCGATTTGTGAACTTTTTCGTGGTGTATAAGATCCAGTCGGTTTAATTGAGTCGTGAATTTCAGGCGTAATTATTCCCTTTTTCTTTAGTTCCTTGGAAGAATTCGTCAATCGTTTTGTTATCGTATTTTATTATTCTTACTACTATCAGTACACCTGCCTTCCTACTATCAACTCGTAGTTTTGCATATTATGTGTAGAGAAGTAATCTATTTCATTTCATTGTGATTATTGACTCAAATTGCCTTGATTGGTTTAACATTTTTATATGAATATTCATGTATATTAGAATAAAGCCTGATGACGATCTAATCGAAAACAATATTGTTCGCTTATGTGTTGTTCTAAACACTTTTATCGTTGTTATTCTCTACATAATCGTGATAGATAAGAATACCGCTAGGAAGTAAGTGGCAAGAACACTACTTTACTGATAAATCTCAGTTATAAAACGGTCTTATTAGTTGTATCTAATACTACATTATTTATAGGTGCATTTCAGGAAGCTCTTTTGAAAGGCATCGTCTTCCAAAAAGGCTGTAAAGTCGTACAAACATGATCTTCTGATAAGGAAATTTAAAGATTACCCGCAATGCAACGGTGATATATCTTGGGGTGAAAAAATAGTAAGTAAATACTGAAGGCAATATAAGTACACACACAAAAATTAGTGTTACAAGCTTTAGGTCAAGGTTTTATGCCAGGGTTAGTAATGGCATATTTCAGCAGTCAGTTACAACGTAGAACTTCGTATGTAAGTTGCCATACCACATTAGCACAGAGATATAATTGTCAATTCGAATCCTATAGTGGTTGATATAGTAGAAGTATTACTGGCAATGGGTTAAGTTTAGCAAGACTAAGGTAGATGCGTTGACGAATCCAGAAGATTAGGATTTGAGAGAACATAAAGAGTGAATGCACCTGCGTCATTGCAAACGATTTCGAGCCGTCACTCAGGGTCGCTAACCATCGATTACTATAATCTCGCTGACCCCAACTAGGCAGCCTACATCTACCAACATGACTCAGTCCACTTGTCAGTGACTTCATGGATTTCTGCCATGTTTTGGTCTGGCCACCCCTAGCTTTTGTCCAAAACATAGCTCAACGAGACAGCCGGTGGTAAGCCATACATAACACATGTGCCAACTACCTCAACTGATGAAGTTTCATTACTTCGTCTATTGATCGGCCATCCTTACCTAGCACCCATTTCATAGCAACAGCAGTGCTTACTCGGTTGTCCCAGGATACACGAGAAATGCTTCGGAGATACCTATTATCGAAAACCAGCAACCTACCAAAATTTTGTACTCTCACTGGCCATGTTTCACAGCCATAAAGTAGGACGGAGAGAACTACTAAGCAGCACACTCGTCCTTTGGTCAGCAAACGGATATCTCACATTCGCCATAAGTGACTCAAGGCAGCCTACATCTACCAACATGACTCAGTCCACTTGTCAGTGACTTCATGAATTTTTGCCATGTTTTGGTTTGGCTGCCCCTAACTTTTCTCCAACCTACACCACAAAACATAGCTCGTCGAAGCAGTCGGTGGTTGGGCATTCGTAACATACGTTCCAACCACCTCAAGTAATGAAGTATCACTACTTCATCTATTGACCTCCCATCCTTACCTAGTACTCGTTTCCTAATGGCAGCATTGCTTACTCGGTCTTCCCACGATAGATGAGCAATGCTTCTAAGATATCTATGATCGACTACTAGTAACCTACGAACATGTTCTACTCTTACCGGCTCGTTCCGCATCCATATAGGAGAACGGAGCGAACTACTGCACAGTACACTCGACCTTTGGTTAGCGAACGGATATCTCGTCTACGTCATTAATGACGAGTGTTGGCAAAAGCCAGTCGAGCTTTCTGTATCTTTGCTGAGATTTCGTCAGTCACCTGGCCATCAGCGCTGTTGGAACTCCAGAGATAAGTGAGTTGGTCTACACGCATAACTGCTTTACTCCCAATCACTAGTTCAGGTGCCAACGCAAGCCAATCCTGTTGCAACAGTTTGCATTTCGAGAATTAGAACCGCTTTCAGAACATGTTTGCATTGTTGCTTAGGGTAGTTAGAAGACTCTGCATTTATTCAGCGTCTTCACCGAATACAACTATGTCATCGGCGTATATTAGGTCAATAAACCATCTTCCTGGTAGAAGGTTCATCCCTTAAAAACTGACGAGGATAATGTTAACTCTAAAAGTATGTCTACGACAAAGTTAAACAAGAATGGGGAAAGTGGACATCGCTGAAGGACACCACTTGAATTCCGATGACAGTTCGCCATAGGCTCTCGCATGACCAGTAGTGTTCGAGTTGAGAGCTTGTATAAGGTTAATGTACTTCTCTGGTACACCTTTTAATGACAGATACTGCCACAGAACCTCACGATCCACAGATCAAAATGAAGCCTTAAGGCGTTGGAAGCCTACTATTGTCGGACGCCTAAATGCGTCCCATTCAGTCGGACAGCGCATAAGTGGCTGTCTATCGGGATCCAGTCTAAGTGATCTAGTTCTGAACTACGACTCAATGCTATACCTACGCCAGCGAGACCCTAGGAAGCGGGATCATGGCTTCCAGATACACGAAGAGTTAATCGAGCTGCTTCTTTATGTTGACAAGGTGAAATTAAATTAATGATTTTATTAGGATCCTGTATGCGCGTTTCCGAGACGCAGCATACATTGATGGCGCGAGATTCTGATGCCCTAGCTAAGGAAGCCTGTTGTCCGATTCCACACAATATCCGAACACTAATTGCTCCAACATGTGATTTAGGACAGGGTTTCAAGAGGCCAGGACTACCGTTTCGTGAACTCGAATTGTTTGCAGCAGAGGTGCTGGGTGATAAGGGAATGTGAGAAGAGTTATTCGTGGAGATAAGGGGTATGTTAGGGGGTGTAGGAAGGATTTGTTTGTGACCAATTTAATCTCGTGTGCTGGTGCGTATATAAGGGTGGATATCACTTCCCGGCTGCTCACACTGTGCAAGTTTATTTCTGCTCGAGACGGGGGAGGAAATTTGTAGCTCAGGTGTATGCCTATGGTGGTATCATCCTTTGAGGTGAATAGTTTGGTTGCGGAGCTTTCATTGTTTTTCTGAAAGAAATCCCACCATAATCGTGTAGCTGAAAGCGATGAACGTATAATTTAAGCATTTGGCCAACAAACAAGGGACGCAGATTATCCGTGTCATGTTTCAATTCCACACCTCAACATTCATTACAAGTTCTGAAGAGATGCCTCAGTAATAAAGAACACTTTGTTTGCATGCTTCTGTTGTACATAATTCTGCACAATACTTGTGCTCACTTTGCAAACTTAAATTCTGGTTCATTTGTTACTAGAGTACAAATTAGACAATCATGGGAATTACCAGTTAGTAAATCAAGTCCGACTACTTTTAATTATCATATAGGGCTTATTTTCAAGCCCAGGATTCAATGGAAGATTGCCGACTGAATTAGAAAACTAAGACACTTAGTTGAACTACTCACAAGTAGTTCGACATTCCAAGTAGTATTTTCTATTTATCCTAAAAATAACTATCATCTTGTTTTTGTTGGCAGTCGAATCCTGGTTAGATATTATGAAAATAAATTACTGAAAATCAAATTTATGATGACCTTAAATTCCAGTGGTCATTGAAATCAATCCTGAATAAGCAAATATAAATCAAGTCACATGTCAGTGTGTAATCATATACTGGCAAATATTTGACGATGCTTCGACCAAAAATGTCACAACCACAAAAATAAACAACTCCCTATCAAAAAAACTGTGATCATTATTAGAGTTAAAGTCTAGGTTACACTGGATAATTTACAGTTTATAAAAATTATACTCAATACAGGTTGTTTTTGTAAATCACTTTAGAAAATGGTAAGAAATATTTTAAGTTGATCTTATGATCGCTTTCTGACGTATACTTGTGACGATAAATGGGATTTACCATCAGTCACATGAATTAGTGGTATTGGAAGAATTCATCCGCTGCCGAAAACATATGACCCACATCTATGTGAAAATTGCACAGGTATTAAACAGAACTGTAATATCTAGTAGACACATTGATAACTGATCAGTAAAAAAGATCATGGGTTGAATGAGAAATTTTGTACTAATCCTAAAATTTGAGTAAAGTCTATCGATTGAGAAATACAGTGTGAGAATTAAGCTAACATACGCAAACACGAAATTCAAAAACTAATGTGTTCACATTAGTTGTGAATATTCAACAGTTAACTTTGCAACGGACTCATACAAATAGCTTGAACGTTACGCAGGAATGCAGTGAACCAGACATAAATTATTTTAGAGAGATTTAAAATTCACGACTCATTCAACGCTAATTCATTTGGCTGTTCTTATTTTTATGTTATTTTCAAAAAACTTATTTACTAATTTGAACACGGATATTTGTACAAGTGGGGCACTTAAATATTTATGCGCCACACGTATTGATTAGTCCGCAGGATGGCTGGGATGCCGTTTGAACACCCGAAAATCGGTTCATACTCCATTTGTCCCGTCAGGATCCTGGAACCTTTGCGCGCCATAGGTCTGGGATCAGTTTTCCAACTTCCATAGGTGGATCCGCCGTACCCACCAACCCGGTTAGAGCGCCGGACACTCGCTCTTTGTCCTATCAATTTAGTATACAACACCCCACCATCAGAAGGCGACGAGTAGGACTTTCCTTTGTAGTGGCTATATACGCATAGCCAAGTAAGCACTACGAGGTCAAGCGGACTCTTCCAACTCGGTCGTACTATGGAATTAGTTCTTGTGAACAGAAATTAATTTAGGAATCGGTGACATATAATGGGTATATTCCGACTGTTTGCATTTAATGGGTGTAAATTACTTATTTACTGGTATTTAACATAGTCACAGATATGATGCAAGGAATGGTGAATAAAAAATATTCTAACTACCAATGAACTCGAAATGCATATTCTATTGAAAAATAGCCTTTTTTTACACATACAACTAAACATGAACATAAAATTTAAAGACAAATAGTTTAAAATTAGTTAGGAAATTAAAAAAAGACTTTGTAAATTCAAATAAAAATCAGAAAATACAAATTAGAAAAACAGGACAGGAGGGACCAGAAATATTAGTTTTATCATAGGACTTTGGGAAAAAGCATGTTATTGGAAATGCAACATCAGAACAATTCTAGATTTCATACAATGGATATCATTATCCAACAATAGCAAAATATCAAGTAACTGACACATTTAAATCAGAAGAACTATCAAGATCGGGGTCAAGAACTAGAGCACAAGAATTAATACAATAACGAAGACCTGTAGGCTTTGGTCCATCATCAAACACGTGTCCCAAATGGGCATTGCATCGCTTGCAGGAAACTTCTACGCGGACGTCACCTAACAAGTGATGAAAAACCAAATTTTGTCACACTACCCATTAAAAGTGACGAATTATTAATAAATGTTGGGAATATCGAATAAAATGAAAAACTAGTGGTACGAACATACACATTTCATTTATACATATGTTATTTACTAAACAAGTTAACAGATTAAAATTTACATCAGAAAGGAGTACAATTATAAGATGGATTTCCAGCTACAGCATTTTAAAACAGTTGCGTAACATGGAGTAGTTTTGTCGCTTTGCATTTACGCACATAAAGTTAAATGAATTGCCGAGAAAACGAATGGGAACAAAATGATGTGATAGCAGAAACTGGCCAATAAAATACTTGAAAGCTTATGCATATCAGACTGTGATAAGATTGTGTAACGTTTAGCATTTAAACTATATATTTTAAAAATACGACAGGAGTACACAAGCTCTGTTAACCATTTTAACTGAGATATAAACTCAAAAGACACCAACAGGTCTTTGCTCGTCAAATAGTCACAACTTAATTTAGTGCGTAAACGATATGCTTTCATGGAAACAACGGAAATAATTTGCATCAGCACCTCAAGGAGGATAGACTAAATGAGAAAATTCTATCTAGAAACTAGACAGTTTGGATGTAATATGACCCACCAAAGTGGGTACATGTCAAGCACATTTTTGGGAGGGTTTAAGATGCTGAACTTATGCCGAGCTAAGTTAGATGAGTTACGATTCGTAGCAAAGTAGTTGACCATACGACTTATTGACCAATAGGTCATAGATAAAATAGTAATGCGTTAATGGTACTGTTAAGTCACAGCATCCGTTTGAGATATTGTATACAATACAAAATGAGGATAAGTTTCTTGGAAATCTATTAGATCTCGTGTTTCGCACCACCTTACTTTGGCTTGGCCTAACTCACAATTAATAATCTCGGTAAACAAAAGTGAGAATTGTCCAGAACATACCTGAAGACAAATCAATGGATGAGGTCAAACAATTACATTCTATGGGACTATTAAAAGCAGGCCAACCACAACTGCAGAAAAATTTTGCTTCGCTGCTAAACAATTTTGAGCCACAGACAACACATTTATATATTCCCTGTGATCTCTCATTTACGTATTTCCCTGAAAACGGCCTAAAACAATAGGATAAATTACTAGAACAAACTTTTCTGTCTCCTTATTCTGTGTTACACGGAATTCCAGGTCAGTCAATCTAGCCTTTAAGGAGTCGCGGGAAAAAGGAGATCCATTATTTATGTCTTCATTACACCTGAGACGATTACTTTCTTTTAATAAGGCTTGGATTCTCGGTGAAAGAGTGTCCATTTGTTTAACCAACTGAAGTACATTCATCCTAAAATTAAAACAAGTACTTTCATTTCAGATATAATCTATTTTCAGTGAATAAGTAAATTTTGATGACTGATCACCATAGACAACTACTTTATGATTCATGAATAGTTAAACAAGCATAAAGGTTGTAACTTTTAAATAATTTTAAAACATCCGATCGAGACAATCACAAGTTAAACGTAAACAATAACCTATCAAGATAGACTGGACAAGTTGTCGAGCTTCTACATGACATTTGCGCAGGTGTTGTTCAGAAGAGCCTCACAGCCTAACCTTTCAGCTAAGAGAAGTCAGTCATCTACAGCGTAGAATTTCGTACGTAGGTACATCAATTCAGTCTACCGACCATGATGCTTATTCTTGGTGAAATTTAAAACCATGTTCTCTAAAGAGTCAGTGATAGGTTTTCAAACCTTTAGCCAACCTACAGAAAAATCATAATCACGCTAGCACAAAGCAGTTTTTATCCGTAATAACGTGAAAAATTTCAAATACAGGTTCATATATAGATGAGTATCCGTAAATCGAGAACTACTATCTAAGCTGATGATAAATGATAACCGCTAGTAGAAAAACATTTATCTTACAGACCGTAGCTCTGAAGGATAGAGCTTAAAGTAAATTACGCATACGGGAATACAAATTTACCACTGAGAGGAAGGTTAGTTTATACTACTACTTAGTTATTTGTCTACTACCTTTCGTTCGTGAAATACACTTCCGCAATTGTAGTCAGTCATACATAAGACAACTATTCAAGTCCCTATATTTTGAACTATCATACCAAGTCTTTTAGACAAGTAAGCACTGGCCATTGGATGAGTAGTTGAGACGCACACTATCTATTTTACTTCACTGAATAAACTAGTGAAGCTAGACCTTATACGAAGTACGGACAGAAGTCAAGTAAATAAACACATACTCGGTTGCAGATGATGAATTATAGTTCTTTTTCGGTAATCAACAATGAAGGTACCATCGACTAAATTACCTACATTATGATGGAAATCAAATATTTGTGAAGTGAATAGGAAAGTCTGTCATTTAATAAGCTCCTGTCTAACCATACAAAACAGTAATAAGGGAGAACTTCAGCGAAAGAAGCGATATCCCTTGACAAAACTTGGTGCTTATTCGGGTGGTATTGCATTTACAGGTAACCTCTCTACTTCTTATTGGGAAATTGTGATACGTTATGTCTAAGAGTTTCGAGAATCAAATTTAACTCGAAGTGTGAAGGGAAATGTTCGCCAAATAGCGCTAATGGGCAACCGAAGACTTCAGGATGAGACCTAGGTGCGTAAAAGAAGGACATATAAAATTAATTATAAATACAAAACAGATGCCATCTAATACACCAAGAAAATAACGATTTTCGCCGAGGTTTCGAAAAGTATGGAGAACTCAAGGACTAAAATAATTTTGAAGAGAATAAAATGTGCTCTCTGTCTAACCTGTTAGGCTGCGGCGTTATCGGAATTGGCCTACAATATTGTACATTGAACATATACAAGATCCGAGGAACTGACAGTCGAATTTCGCGCCAGAACGACTTCTTCAACCCATCAGGTTCAATTGTTTAAGAATTTGAATGGTAGTTGGTCACGTGTAATCCCCTATCAGCATAATTTCAAATTGTTGCTGATTAAATCCCTCAGGTAGAGAGTATGGTAACAGTTGCTCATTTTACACAGAAAAACATAACACAATATAGGACAAGGTTATGTTTGTTTTAGCCACTCACAATGTAATTTGATTTAGTAGCTATCGAGATACGTTCAAACAGGCTGATTACTAATTATTCTTATTCTCGATACACATACTTTAACTATGAACTCATTAAGAACGCCTGTTGAACCAACCGTCTTTCAATCATCTTTCACCAAGAAATGTAAACTTATCAATCAGTTTCAGAATACTAATACTCTACAAGTGAATCTACCAAAAACGTCGCCGTAAATTAATGAATTTCAACTATATTGTCATTTTCCATGGTTACAAACATTTATTGAAAACCTTGCATCCTATGATCACACAAGCAAAAATGGCGTGCACCTGCTTTTTGTAAGCATATTATTATTCTTAGGACATTAGTAAAAGGTGTGATAAAATATGGGATAGAGTAGTAATACTTTTTACAGGATTGGTAAAATGAGCCAAGGCGATTGCTTTTTATAAAGTACTCTCATCTTCTATGTATGACTGAGAGAATGAGCCGGTAAGGTAGTGTAATTTGGCCATATACGATGTATTTTCGGTTTCAAGCGAATACGAGCATCAAGTATAAACATAGTGGTTTGGTGGTGCTCATTTTTTATGCCACTTGCCCACAGTAGGGACGAAAAATTGCTTGATGATGCTAAACATCAAAACTTCATTGAACATTGAAAAACGGTTTGGTAATCTCACGTGGAGTAGACTCATTCACTATTCCGAAGGTATTCGCACCGTTTTAAACAAGGTGACGCCTTCTGTAAACAATTTAGATATAACTATAAACCATATGGCGAAGCTATACACTTGTTATGGCCCCTTCATAGTACGGCACTCACATTTTCACAGTGCAAGTCATCCCTCTTAGACGCTTGAAAATGCTTCAGAATCATGTGTAAACGCTTCTCTTGACGAAAAAGGTCAAGAGTATTTTAAAATGTTGAGTATTTCGATTTTTTCCCCCTCTATGTTTCGACTCAACGTCAGTATGCAACAAATGGTGGTTGACAGGAAGTTGTATGATGCTTTGCATTCTTGGTATACCACATCAAGATCTCTTTTCAGGGATACAAATAAATTTAGCACAGAAGAATGTCAAATGCCTTGGTTACTGGTAATGATATTACGGTAATAATTTTCTTTTCGAATTTCAGAACAGACTTTCATTTTTTAGGTTTTTGGAGCAAAATGTCCAACTGTGGACCCGAAACTACGTGAATCCCAAAGCAGAGAGGGTAAAAAACTGACAGATGCAAATTTTATTCAACGAAACAAATACACAACCTATACTTCTTAGCAGATAGCTAAATTACTTTATTTCTTCGAAAGATGTGCACTCGAGCTGGTGTTTCCGACCATCAGTCATGAATGCATGGCGGTAACTTCAATCCACCTATATCTGTGGGGCAGAACATTTTGTTTAATTACAGATCCGTATAGTATACCCGGGTGTAAATAATCAATGATATTAATGTTGCTTTTCCAATTCAACCACACCCATTATTAATGCTTATAACCTTTTACTGATTTCCCTTCCTATCAAGAAATCCTATTACAAGCTGATCTGGGCAACTATGTTGAAAAAGAGCTCACTTGTGACTTATAAAGCAACGTTGCTGAAAAATATAATGCATAAAATAATAAATTAAATGTCAGCAAATCATTAAATAGATGCTCCATATCTGTTATATCCTGTATATCAATATAATATCTAACGATTCAGATCTTTCGAAAGTTCTCGATTCATAAGATAATTTGACCATTCGTTATCTTACTATTGGGCTTATCTTCATTAAGCTACAAAAGTGCAGTTGTACAGTTAGTGTTCTACTACAGTACAAGGGAGGAATGAGTAATCATACCTTTGTGATGAAACAAATATCTTCTGGTTTGCTACTCTTCCATTTTTCTTTATCAGTACCTCATCCTATTCATTTGATAATAGCCTTGATTTTCCCGGAGACTTACAGTTCATTTACCCAGGAGCCTTTCCAACCATTATCTGGCGAATACTATCATGATGATCAATACACCTACATCATCAATCGTTGTTATATACAATCTTGGATTTAACTTGCATTGATTCTCGGCCAGCAGTGGTTCGTTGCAGCGCAAACGGTAAAACTCGAGCAAACTATTGTATGGTACATTTTATAGTCTGAAACATTGATTACAATGTTATGTAGAAAATGTTAGTCCTCCCTTAAATTGTAAAATATTTATCGGATTGAACAACCATTCACAGTAAATTTGTCAGCACTCTTAACATTTAGGTCTTACCGGTAGACTACCACGCCTCATGTCACTTATTGTTATTCGAGCCTAAATTATTATTATTCTCATCACAAATATAGAGTTTTGAGGGATTTCGAATGTCTTGACGAATGGATTATTTCCGAAATTCCCAATTGATATAAGCACACCTCAAGTGATATATATTATATATCTGCTCATTATCCATAGAAATACAGTTGCTAGTCTTTCTGAAAACGCTGATCTGCAGAATAAAGAGATTCTATTTATTGACTGAGATTTGGCATGCAAACCGAAATCTCGGGAACTTAAGCTTAGAAGTTTCCGTTGAGTAATTTTTAACTGCCAACTGACTAGAATTAGACAGTCCAGTGGATAGACCCTCATTCATCGGCTCGTGAAAAAGACATGGAATATATTGGAAAGCCTTCGGAGGTTACTAACACAGATGCTGGACAACTCAAAGGTCTGCTGCGAGAATACAGATAAGCAACTATTTAGTGATATTTATGTCAGTATTTTGAAAAAATCAGATGAATTACTGCACTATAGTAAATACGTGAACAGTATCGTTACCATTTGGCCTACCAGAATTTTCCATCAACTTCTACGAATCAGTTCGATAGTATGCAAATACATTAGTATGGATCGTTTTAGTCAAAGTTGTTGCTCTGGGATTTGCTGAAGAACGAGTACTTGATGACTTTACACTCACTGACAAAATAACTATAAAACCTGCCTTCCAGGGCTCATGTAATAAAATACCGTTCTCATAAAAGGGAATAAGGAACAACTGTTTTGTTTGATAATTTCATCGATAAGCTTTTCATCAAACATCCTTTCACTTCCGGGTTCCTGGATCCGAAATTACAAGCTCCAAACCTTAGGCAATATAGAAATCGAACGCCAAAGATTGACTAAGCCCAAAGCTTAGGCATAACAAATAAATCAAAATTAATAAGACAATTGCAGTCTTTTTATCTGAGAAAGTTTTCACGACAAACGTGTCTTTACTTTTGACATATTGTACCACT